CTCTCTCTCTCTCTCTCTCTCTCTCTCTCTCTCTCTCTACCTATCTACCTCTGTCACTCACTCACTAGCTCTCTCGCATGCGCGCACACACGTGCACACGGCATCAGAACGAAGCAGGCGCACGCATATATTTCTGCTACACAGGACTACATGACGTAGGTAATCAACCATCGGCGTGGGCTTATGAATGTGATACACCCAACAGATGGGAGGCGAATTCTGTTACGAGTATTTTCGGCGTCGTTGCACCAGCCGCAGCAGTAGTTGCAGACGAACAGATGTAGCAACGGATGCGGCGTGCCACGTGATCGAGAGTTTAGCCAAAAGATAATCTGGTTGGAATTCGAATCCTCAGCGATCGGCCTCGCCCATTGCACTATCATTCCTGTGACTATAGGAACTATAGATCCACGTAGTATCTTCCACCATATATCTCTGTAATGGCCTCTACCATCTATCATTGTAGCATCCTACACCATCTCTCTCTCTCTCTCTCTCTCTCTCTCTCTCTCTCTCTCTCTCTCTCTCTGTGTAGCAGCCTTCACTATCCATCCCTGTAACAGCCTACACCACACATCCCTGTAACAGCCTACACCACACATCCCTGTAGCAGCCTCCACCATACATCCCTGTAGTATAGCCTACACCACACATCCCTGTAACAGCATCAACCAACCAACCAACCAACCAACCAACCAACCAACCAACCAACCAACCAACCAACCAACCGACCAACCAACCCTGTAGCAGCCTCCATGCACCATACATCCCTGTAACAGCCTTCACTATCCATCCCTGTAACAGCCTCCAACTGTGTAAAAATGTTAAGATAAGGGGCGAGGAGTTTTGGGAGTAATTTTTACGCGGCATCTGTGTTTTGCCGACGGGATATTGGTTTCATTGGTATTTTTTGTCTAAAATTTGCCATTTTAATTTTTGGTGATTCAGAAGTGGAATCGAGGAATGGGGTGGACAGGAACTCATCTCGTTATCTCAGTTCAAGGCAAAAGCGCCACTTATAATGACTAACTGTAAGCGGGAGAAATGGGGGAAACTTCCCGATATCCGAACGCATGCGTAAAGTTTTGTAGTAACTTCTCTCGAAATTCACTGTAACGTGAATTTTTGGCTAATAAAAAGCCTTTCATCCTTAGCTCCTCATTATATGCTTCATCTTGACTCTATACATCTTCCATTGCCGTATCAGCTAGTATGTTTACACGTTATAACGTTGAAGCTGATTGTAAGCCAATTACTTCTCGCGCTGTTTAATTCTTCTATCCATAAAGTTCCCGTTTTCTTTACATCGTATTTACACGCAAAGTTAAACAGCTTAGAAGCCGTTTACTCTTTGCCGTCATCTTATCCTCTCTCCATGTCATAAAGCTTTCGCCGCTTTACATTACCCCTACATAACCAGCTAGCGTCTATGCGCGTTGTAAGAAGCAAGCTCTTCTGGAATGTGCATGCTAGCCCTGTGCCCGCTTCTTCAATCGAGCCAACCATTATAATAGGTTTAAAGATGGTAACGCGGTACAGCAATAAGGATATAGCACTAGACAAGTATAAATAGTATGCACGATATTTTTGATGGCAACCGCTGTCGTCTAAGTCTCTTAAATCAGCACGGGAAATGAATGTCTGAGAAGCAGAGCCCTGACCAAGGTTACGCCCTTCAGAGAAAAGCATTAGTCAAGGAGCTGACTACAATCTTGGTTGGAAACGAAGTTTCCCATGTTTTTCCCGCTTGCAGCTAGTCATTATAGGTGGCCCTTTTTGCATTGAACTGATCTGACGAGATAAGGTTCTTTCAACCCAATTCTTCGATTCCACTTCTGGGTCACCGACAATCAAAATGGTATTTTGCCTTTAGACAAAAAATACTAATGAAATTAATATCCCGTCGGCAAACACCGATGCCGCATTTAAATTACTCCCAAAACTCCTACTCCAAACTCGCCCCCATCCGCCCTTTCTACTCTACTACACAAACTCGCCCCACCCGCCCCTCCTACTCTACTACACAAACTCGCCCCCCCGCTTCCTCTCTATAAACTCTCCCTATTCCTCCCATTCTACAAACTCTCATCACCCATCCCTTCCTCTC